CCCGCCTCTCCGAGGCCGAAACCCCTTTTCCCCATTCGTTCTCCTGCTAGGCTGCCCTCCTCCTCTCCGTGCCCCTTGGGGACTTTGTGCTCCTCCATCCTCCCAAGGCCAAGCTTTCCATTTCCTTCAGATACTCGGAATAAGAACAACAGCGGCGCCTGCTGTTTTCCACCGTGCACATGGGCCCCGGCTGGTCCTTCAGAGCCCGCTGTCCTCTCAGGCTTTGGGGTCAGAGGGCAGGGGTCAGGGTCAGTGCGGGGAAGTGTGCCGGAGGAGGGTCTGGGAGCTAGACTCTGGGGCCAGCAACATGCAGAAATAAGGGAGAAACTCTGATGCCTGATCCCCTGAAATAAATCGAGCAGCTCCAATTTCTGGGGCCCTGGAGAATCTGACTTGCTCTTTCAAAAACTCAGCATAAAGTAGCAGAGCACTGTTCTCTCTAATGCCAGCCTTTGGCACCATGGCCTGCTAAAAAGGCCTGTAGTATTCTTGAGGAAAGTTTTTTGTTTCCTGTCAGCATCTGGGGGAAAGAGGCCAGGTGTGTCCTTTGTGCTTATACCTGTCTGCTTACCAAGTGGAACTCCTTCAGTGAGGCATGGCAGGGTCCCAGCTCAGAGACACCCCAATTCCTTCTGTGCTAGAGCCAACATGTGCCAGGCACTATTGAGAGAAGCATTTGTCAAAACCAATCATGGAATTTGTCATACATTTATTTAATCTTCTGTTTGACATACTGGTTTCTCTCTCCTTCCCTTTCCCCTCTACCAGTTAACTTACATTCCTCAGGTGGTTTCGATGACTCAGCCCAAGTCTGCAACCCAGAATTCTCCTGGGAAGTGACTGTCCAAGCCTTGTGTAGAAGTCCCAGGAGAAGAGTCAGTTTTCTGTCAGGAATGTGAGTGGAAAATTGTCCCCCACTGTGAAATCTTTGTGTGTTTGTAAATGATGGCTAGATTCAGAAATACTAATCTATTTCTAGAGGAGAGGTGATCTGATAAACTTGTTTTCTGTCATCACTATCAGGAGTCAGGAAAGGTTAATAGAATTAGTATGAAAGTGTTCTGACAGCAGAGAAATCTCAGTTGCAGAAAGACCTGGTTTTTGGCCCTGGTCAGATTGTCTCCATATCCTGATTCTATGGGAACAAGTGCTTGCACAGGAAGAGAAGGGGCTAGTTGTTCAGATGGGGCCTAGTGAAGGGCATGCAGATGTTGTTCATGCTGTTCCAGCATTTCCTACTGTGGCTTTGACATCTAGGAACCAAGAACCATGTGCTAGTATTCTTCAAGCCCATACTCTGCCTGGATTTTGGGGGCCTCTCAGATCCCTAGACACTATTTGTAAGTCCAGTTGCCTGTCCACAAATGCCAGGGACTACTAGTAACTAGATACATATTGCAACTCTTGTATTAGCCTGGGTAAGCCAAACTAGAATAATTAGGCCCAAAATATAACAGTTCAGACACAATCCCTTTCTTGCTCACGTAAGAGTATTCCATATTGACAGGTGACATTCCATCATATAGAACCAGGCTGTTAGCACCTCTGCCCTCTTCAACATGGCTTCCAAGACATTCTGGTTGTCATCCTTATTACTGGAAATGAGAAAGAGAATGGAGGAGTGTAGGTCAGGAGTCACCACTGGCTTTCAGGGTCACCATGGTACGGAAAGTTTGGAAGTTTTTCTGCCACCCAGAGGTCAGAAAACCATTGTTGACAGCACAAGTGTTCCATGACCACAGGATGATTGGGTGATTAGTGTAAAAAGGATTCTAAAAGGAGCTGCAGAAACTCACATCTGTTGAAAGTTACTTGTTTAATCTTCCTGCTACAAGAAAACAATGTTGTCTACCTTTCTTCTCTCTTCCAAATTTCATGCAGAGAGATCACATTGGCAAGGGAGTATGAGAAATATAGTCTCAATACTCCCAGCCCCTGCATACAGGGGAGAGAATGTGAGTGGAAATGTTGTGAAGTACCAATGTACCAACAGACAACACATGACACATCTTTGAAAATCTCATTAAAATGGAAAGATTTATCTCCCTTTTTCCTTCTTTCAGACCGAAGTTGAGGCCTGTAGAAATCTCCAGTGTCACTCTGCATACTGAAGCATCAGCTGCTGAGGCAAGCAACAGTGGTTTGTGTCATGGACTTTTCTTCTTCTCCAGGTCCTAAACCCTCTGGGTATCAAGTGAGCTCTAATTTGTGCTCCACACTATCTTTGTACATATCTCAAACAGTAAACCCCCTGATGCAGAACATGGGCTCCAAAGCTCTGAACAGCTTCACAGTGGAGGAGCCAAAAATATTCATAAACTATGGGGCCAAAGAGGTTTTAGATGAATTGGGATAAATTCCTAGATTCTGCCCAAATGCTCCTGGCCTCAGAGGCTAAGGCTGTAGTCATAGGAGCATCCTCCTGTTGTCCTGAGCTTGGAGATGGATTCTAGGGTTTATTTTGTAGGGCACCTTTGAGAGTGTCCCCATCAATAGAAAAAACCTTCTCACTTTCCTAAGGACTGATCTACTGAGTGGTCATGAACAAGTTGGGTTCCTGTTGGGGAAATTCTCGAGTCACCAATTCTGATCTAGAGGAATCTTTTGCTAGAGAAAATGAAGCTAAAAGACCTAGATCAAAACTGGCAAACCCGTCATCTTTGTGCTATTATTATATTCTTCCACATTCATGGCAGTTATTGCTTATCAATAGTTGTACTATTTCTGGTCAAGATCAGACAGACTCTTCAAATCCTTCTCAATAGTATGTTCTAGACTACCTCTACCAATGAGTTGGCAATTGTGTTGAAAATTTTTTTGCCATGCCTGCCCT